GAGAGAGAGAGAGAGAGAGAGAGAGAGAGAGAGAGAGAGAGAGAGAGAGAGAGAGAGAGAGAGTTCTTCCTCCTCTAAGTCCACCATTTTTACCTCACCCTCTCGCCCCCTGACTTCTCTGTATCTACCAGCTAAGAGAGAGAGAGAGAGAGAGATGGGCGACATTGGGATTTGACGACATTTGGGTTCAGACTCAACATCGGGATTCAGACCTTTGGCGAGGGATTATTTGGGACTGTATCGAAGACTTGGTGTTGACGACATTTCCATCTTCCCCCTCTCCTTCRTCTCATCCCCCTCTTCTTCRYCTGTGTAYGATCARGGACTGACGCATTCTKCCWGTGTGAGCGTCAGCCCCCTTCACACCGTGGAATGATGATGATGCATGTTTGGTCTGCATGGCAGCTTGATTGATCGGATCATTGGTATTTAAGCCTTCCGTTGTGCAATCTTGTATATGGCGAGAAAGGTTGGTTCTTGGTCTGGTCTGCACCATTATGGTATGCAACAGAGGGTGTTGGGGGCCGGTTTGTGGGTTTGGGCGGGTGTATGGGGTATTTGGGGTGGGTATGGGGGTGTTTGTGGGGTTATTAGGGGTTCTAGACCGAAAAAAGAATTAAAAAAAAGAAAATGTGGGGTGCCGACGACCCCTGACCGGTAGGTGCCGACGACCCCCGACCGGTACGTTCCGACCAGCCGACCGGTCGGCGGGTCGGCAGCCGACCAGTCAGGGGTCGTCGACGGTTGGCGTGTGCAACACTGCTACACACCCAACTCATGTCAATATCAGACCAAAAGAGTAGCTATTGTACCGGCTAACATGGTATAGTCATGGCTAACATGCTATAGTCATGAGTAACGCGCTATAGACATGGCTTGTGAATTCCCACTTTCTCAAACGGAATCACGAAAATGGCAAGCCACGACCAACACGTTGGTATGGTCATTTCCAAAATGTTTTAGTCACGACTAACACTAACATGCTATCGTCATGGCCAACATGCTATAATCATGGGTAACATGTTATATTCATGGCTTAAAGCACCAGTGCAATCGAACTCGACTTATTCACACTTCATCATGCTTGCAAACATCGATACAGCGAACTGGCGACATGCGCCCACACAGTACTCAAAGATATCGTAACCAGATATGAGTTCTCTTCCAACTGGCTATGGCGACTGTGCGCCCATACAACTCACTGTTCACACTCGAGATCACCCTGGATGTCCCACTCAATGTTCATACACAACACACACACACTAGGCTATGGCTATGGCAGCGCTAGCTGCCACTACCCTACCGCTACACTACACTTCTCTGCCCACTTCATCTTCGGGCACACTGCAGACCTCCTCGCACAAGCTGCTRAGGCAGCRCTTCCRCATGGCATCYRCAGGAATGAATGAATGGCTGGACGCAGCCTCTTGATTTATACTTCTGCGCTGCGTTGGTCTGCCCTGTATCCCTGGCCCATGGTGCACACAGTCCCCCCCGTGGTACTTGCTGGATCGGACTGGTACTTTCTAGACTCTCCCTTGACTGCATGGCGACAACCCTATGACGCAGTGCAGTTGCACTGGGGTCCTGCTGTTTGACCTCGCCACTTGTCCTCGTCTTCAACGTGGGCTTGCAGACCTTCTAGACGGACTGCCACTTGCCTGCACCACTTGACCACTTGCCGACCTTCTAGAAGGACTGCAGCTAGACTTCTAATCTACAGGTCTACAAATCGAATCCTGGCTACCTATAGACCTACGACAGACCTACTTACCACTGGCGGTTCTACAGGTCGCAGGTTCAATTCTTCGAGTTGACACAGGTATTGTACACAGGTAAGTTGGGGAACTAGGGATCAAACCCTGGGATCTGCATCAGCGACTTCGAACTGGTGAATACCGTTTCACTCCCGCCGGCCTAGATTCGAGGTCCTCCGAGAAATTTTCAATCCAAGGCAGGACCTTTACCTCGCTGTTGTCTCTCGTAGGCCCGGACTATATCGGGAGCTGTCTCTAGAAGTTCAGATCTCGTAAACCAGCGGTCGTCTTCCAGTTCTTGATAACTAAAATGAACCTTGTACTGTTTCTGCGGACGACCCCTACCTTCGGTTCTGAAGACATCTTCAGCCACTATACCATCAATGTCATATCTTCCATCCATATCTGGTGGGATCATCGATCTACGGGATGGAAACTGATCACTTGTTTGACAAGGTAATAACTTTGATGCATGGAAAACTGGGTACGTGTGGAGGTGTGCTGGGAGTTCTATAGTGTAGGACGGTCCGTCTTCGCCGCCCTTGACTTCTAAGACTGGCCACAGTCCTCTATAGGTGGGCAGTAACTTCTAGGAGATGTTCTCCTCAGGTGTAAACTCTTTAGAACTAACCCAGACTAAGTCGCCTACTTGAAACTGTGAGGACGACGATGTTTATTCGCTTGTTCTATCATCCTATGTTGGGCTTTCCTGAGGTTCT